CTGCCCACCTTCAGCATTCCCAGAGCTCCCCAGTGCTCCCCCATCCCTGGCTACAGGCGGGCAGAGCCCCTCGGAACTCCCCCTGCCCTCCCTCCTCCTGCCCAGCCCATGCTGCACTCAGCCCCTTATCACAGGAGGCCCCATCCTTTCCCTTATCTAACGGCTGAACTTTTGCCTCTGAGGATCTCCCTGCACCCCCCATCCCAACGAGATCCAATTGGCAGCTGTGCTTCGCCCCAGTCTCTCTATAAACCAGATCCAGGTATGGGAGGGATTACAAACCAGGGTCGGAGCTGATGGGGCTCTTCCTCGGTAAAAATGGAATTGTGGCAGGATGGGAGCCCCACTCACAGCCAGAGCCACCCTCATTCCTATCCCAGCAGGGCTGGTGTGCAGGGAGCAGGCACCTTTTGGGGCAGGGGTGGAGGGTCAGGCTCTCGTTCATCCCTCGCCCCAAAGCACTCAGGCCGAGGAGCTGTCACAGCCCCCACTATTTACCCAGCTCCTCGGGCAGTTTCCTGAGCGCCCACCCCTCTTTCCAGCAGCTCAGGTATGTGCACACAAAGGGCCCTGACTAGTGCAGGCAGGTCCTTAGCCCGTCTCCAAGGGGACGGCTGCTCCCATCCCTGGGGACAGCCCCAAACCCCTCACAGCATCCCCAAGGCACAGCTGTGTCCCCTTCACACCCTCTGTGGGGTGACCCGAGAAGCGGGGGCACATCAGTGGCCACACCAACCCCGAGCCCTTGTCCCCTACAGCATCTCCTCCCTATGCTTTTGTCACCCAGAGAAGCTGGAAGTCAGCAGGTATTGAGAGGACTGCTGCTCCCGCCTGGAAAAGCCACAGAACAGAGTAGGAAGGGCAGCTACATGGATGTTTAAATGAGGCACTGATTTATTTGGTCTCCAAAATGAGCTTTCCCTTTTGCTGCCCCTACAATGCAAAGGGCAGGTGGGTGCAAGGAATGTGCCTTGTCAAAAATTAACCCAGGAAATGGAGGGGAGGGGAAAGCAGCAGGAGGGAGACGGATGGCACAGGGCCAGGCCAAAACCACAGGCTCTGCTCTGCTCCTCAGTCCCACTTGTCCCAAAACATTTGGTCCCCTCCCATTCTTAGGAGAGTGTTTGCAGATCTGGAGCTCAAGCTTGCAGGAAGGATCAGCTCTTAACAGATCCTGTGTTTCTCCCTGGACTTGATGCTCTGCTGCATCCCTCTAGAGCATGCTAGGCTTGCTGGGAGGTTCCTGCAGCTCCCATGCTTCTGGCACACCTGGAACATCCACCCCCATGGAGCACCAAGGTCAAAGCAATGCTCTGGGGTGACTGTAACCCTGAAGGGATGGCTCAAGTCTTCCTCTATGGACACAAAAAGATGGATACACAAAGGCCCAAACCAACCCTGTGTCCCTGGCATCTCCCCGCACCCCATGTGGAGGTGCTCAACATAGGTACAGGAGCAGAGACTATGTTTTAACATTGCAATATGTTACAGCATAAGTGAAATTAAATATACTGTGTACTACAGAATCACAGAATATCCCAAACTGGAAGGGACCCACAAGGATCATCCAGTCCAAATCCTGGTCCTGCATAGGACCCCCCAGCAATCCCACCATGTGTCTGAGAGTGTCGTAAATATTACATATATTATAATTCACTATTAAATACACAGAAGCACTGAAGTCCTGTCTCCAGCTTGCTTGGACAATGGGCAGGGATGTCCATGTCCAGCACCTCAGCCACAGCATGCCCTGGGAATACCCACCCCAGGAGTGGATACAGTCCTCCTGCCCCAGCATCCCTTTCCAAGCCCAAGACTGGGCTCAGGATTAGGATTGCTCGGCACAGTTGTTACTCAAAATCGAGTCCCCTCACCCGTGATCTGTTTCCCAGCAAAACTCGTGCCGAGCAATTCTCCATCGCCCATTGGAGACTGTCGCTGCCTCCGTGCTGCTGGCTCCGTGCTGCCCACACCCTCACTGATAGCAGGGCCATCTCGTGTCTCCTTTTGCATTTTTGGCACAGGACTGGCTCTCCTCCAGTCCTCGGGAAGCTTGCCAGCACCGCAAGGTTTGTGAAAAGTTAACTCCACTGGGGTGAGGAGCACCATCGGGTTGGTTTTCCCTCCTCGCACGTGAGTTAGCCAGGCTGTTGATTTTAAAATACCTCCGTGTCCTTCCCAGCTCCCCCCAAAATACCTCGGGAGCGTCAGTCCTGCGATCGGCGCGCAGCCTACGCAGCAGGAATACAAAGCGGGGCCGTTAGCGATAGCGGCGTTACCAACTGGTGTGGGATCCAGACCCTTCCAGGACTCCTTTGTTCTTGACTTTCTGGTTTGGGTTTTGTTTTTTTTTGTTTTTTTTTTTTTTTGAAAAACACACAAAAAACTTTCCTTTGAGAAGCCTGAACTTTCTCAGCTGCAGACACATTACCTTCCAACCGCCTTCACAACTATAGGCAATTCCTAACCTCTGCTTTATGTATGTTGTCATCCACCTCCCTGTTTTCCATACTGATTTATGTTTCACGTTCTTTTTACATTTCCTTTTAACAGAGCCGGTTTTAACCAAACAGCCTTGCCTCCCAAGCCCGAACCATGCGTTCTGCTGGCCAGTGAGCAATCAACTTCCAATTTCCAAGCACACTCCTGTTTATATTTCCTTCCCTATCGGCTTTGTTTCTAATTAAGGTTTGTTAAATGCAAGTGAATATATAGTGCACAGAGAAATATAAAGCATGTAGATAAATAAACACCCCACACACAGCCGCACTGACTAAGGCTGCGCTTTCAACCACGGATCCCAAAGCACTTTGTCATGTTCATTAACAAAACCTCGCGGCTCCCTTGGGAAAGATGCTTGGATTATTTTACGCCTTGTAATTAGGAAAACTGAGGCACAGAGGAGACAAGTGAAATTACCAGCAGTACTGAAACGCTCTGTGACAAAGCCGAAAACAGGACTCAAGAGGCAGGATCCTCCAGAATTGTAGTTTTCCCCTGAACAAGCTTTTCTGCCCCCATTTTGGCCCTGGAATATGCTGGGGCTGGTGATGGAGGGCATCGCCACCGTGGAGGTTCCCTGCGGCTGCGGGAACATGGTGGATCCAGCCACCACCTCCATGGCCAGCAGCTACTGTTGGGTCCATCTGTCCACACCAAAGAGATCCAGAGCATTCAGAGGTGCAGGTGGACACCACAGCCAGGCACTTCGGAAGCGGTGGGAAGAGGCAGTTCCAGAAAGGAAGGAGCAGAGGCACGCCCAAGGAGCTGCATCCCACACATTTTCACCTTGCCAGCTCTCCAGAAGCCTTTTCCTGGAAGGCTAGATTAGGGATCTGGCTGCCCACATCAACCCTGAGAGTGACCATCACAGCCCCGTGATGCACACAGGGCAAGAGGCAACAGCAGGGGCACGGGGGGACCACGCCAAAGCCAAAGCAACACAGTCAGCCCCGGCTGGGAATGGCTGCTGGAAGCCCACTGACCATCTCCCTGAGAGCGTCCGCATTCATGGAGGAGCACACCTTAGAGCTATCATCTCGGGTGTGTGAAACACCCCACCTGCACTGGCCAGCCCCCCATTCCTAGATATTCTCCCCATCCCTTGGCACTCATGCATCCAGCGCCTGCCACTCCTGCCATGATGGTGGGAAAGTCACTCACGTTCCACAAACCCACGCAGGAGCCCCAGGAGCCAGCCCCTAACCCACAGCACCGGCCAGCAGCACCTCCTGGGCAGCAGCAGGAGCAGGCTGGGGCGGAGGTGTCACCTCATCCCTGCCCAAGGCACTCGGCATGCCACAGTTGGCAGCATCAGCTTGTCATGGTCAAGTGCACATGGGCCCCGCTGGCCGAGCCCAGAGCCCGTTGGAAGTGTCAAGGCCACCAGCGGATGGGGCCAGACGTCCTGCATGGACACGTATGCTCTCACAAACACGCTCCTCACCCCAACCCTCCCCCCCATAATTAAAACCATGCTGGGCTCATTTGAATAGCAGAGCTGGCGAGCGCTCTCCGCTGCAACGTAAATAGTCCTATTTATGCCAAGCTCCCATATTGTAAATATCACGATGTATAGCTGGCCAACCCATGAGTCATCTCCCAAAACTCCAACTTAATAAATGGTGCCTCATCCATGTTCCAGACAAACACCGTCCGAGCGGCTCCCACCGCCCCGCACACACAGGGCCAGCACTGGCCACCCAGCCTGCCCACCAGCCCAACGGAGCCACCCAGCCTCTCCAACACAACCCTTCCACAATGGACAGGCATCCCTGGACCATGCCACTCCAGGACCAGCCAGTTTTTGGCCTGACACTTGGCCCTCGCCCCTGCCCAACCCAGTTCTCTGGCACTTGCCAGGGTGTCCATGCAGCGGGCGGGTGGGAGCAGGCAGGAATGGCTGGGATCGTTGGGGAGCAGGAGAACGAGTCTCCCCTTGCACAGACCCCACCGTGGGGCTCCCACCCAGCGCCGTCCCCGCACACCCAGCCCTGGAGCTCCCCACCTGCCGCCTCACTCTGCTTTGTCTGAGCACCGGGGACCTCGGCGGGGAGCTCGGCTCCTCCTGGGGACGCCGGGAACGCCACGGCGCCAACGGGGAGCCGGCCACCAGCTCCAGAACGCCGGTAAGGCCTGGCGGAGGGGCACCCCAAAGACTGCCGAGAGCAGCAGCGGGCACGGGGCGGCGAATCCCGGGCATCCCTGGGGGACCCGCCGCGGTACCCAGGGATGCCCACTCCGGCGGAGGGATGGCGGGGAGAAGGGCGGCCAGCGATCGGGAGGGTCTGGGGGCGGCGGGGGGGGCACACACGACACACCGGGCTCCGGCGGCGACACCTCCAGCCGGGGTAGCACTTCCCCAAACTTCGCCTCCCCTCCGAAGGGCGTGCGGCGGGGAGGGGGGCAGGGGGCAAAGTGCCACCCCCCAAAAAACGGGGAAAACCCGGAGGGGGCTCGCCCTACCCGCAGGGCCCCCGCCCCCCGCGCGCCCCCCTTACCTTCCACGGCGGCGAGCAGGGGCAGGAGGGCGAGGGGCAGGCAGCAGAGCCACAGCGGCCCCATGGTGCGCGCCGGGCCGGGCATCAGAGGCGGCGCGGCCGGCGCTCCATGGAGGCGGCGGAGCGCAGAGCGCAGAGCCCAGAGCCCCTCGCTGGGGCCGCCGCCGGCGCGGGCACGGCCGCGGGCACGGAGCGCTCCGCCGGCCCCGCCGCCGCGGCCGGGCCGAGCCACCGCCGCCGCCGCGCGGGGGACGCCCCGCGCCGCCCGCCCCGCCCCGCCCGGGCCGCGCTGCTGGCGGGGGCGGCCTGAGGGGGCCGTGAGGGGGGGCGGTGAGGGGGGGGCGCGGCGGGGCCGGCGGCGGGCGGGGGGCGGCGGGCGGCGAGCGGGCGGCGGCTCCCCCCGGCCCGCCGATGGTTTCTCCCGGAGCTGTCGATCATCCAGAGAAAGCCGTGATTTCAGCCCAAATCCGCCTCGCCGGGGCTCGCTGCGCCGCCGGCACCGGCGAAGGGGCGGAGGGGCGGGGGGTCCCGGGGGGATGCCCCCGCCGCCGCGCCCTTCGCGCCGCCCGCGGCCACGGGCCGGGCATCTCCCCCGTGGGGCTGAGCCCCCGCAGCTGCCCACCGGAGCCGGGGGCCGGGGCCGTGAGGAGATTCCCGTCTGGAAGAAGGGAACGCGTACAGCAGGATATAAAGAAAGAAACAAAAATCCAAGGAGTTGGTCAATCCGAGGCTCGTTGTGGGCAGCCCTGAGCCCCCGCACCCTTCTCCTCCACCATCCCCCCGCAGCCAGCCAGGAGAGAACAGGAATCCCCCCACTTCCCACGTGGAGCAACTGTGACTTGGTCACAAGCCCCATTGACACTGCTGGGGCCAAGCAGGACCTTCCTAGAAGGTGCAAGGTGAGACCCAGCTCCAATTCTGCATCGCAGCGCTCAACAGGCCCCAACTTCCCCGATGCCTGGGAACCACATCTGCCCTGCGGGCACCTCATGATCCACACCCTCTTCAGGGCATGCCAGGGAGGTTGGGACCACATGGTCTTTAAGGTCCCTTCCAACCCAAACCATTCTGTGAATCTATGACATGTGGCTGCTGGCAGGACTCTTTACCCCAGCAGGTCCCCCTGCCACCTGACATCTCCTCCTCACCTCTCTAGTATCCACCTTGTACCCAGCAATGCCTTCTGCTCACCCCCCATAGCTGTGTCCCAATTACTGCTGGTTGGGCAGAAGGCTCAGGTTCATCCTGCAGGAAGCACTTGTGTCCTGGAAGGTCTTCCTAGGGAGGTCACACCCTGCACATGGATCTCTGCACAAGCTGTGCCAGGTTCATAGGCCAGGAGCTGAAGACCCACTGCACTTCAAGGATGGATTCCTGTCCCTCAACTCCCCATGGAAGGACATGGAAAAAACAGTCTAGGCTCCACTGTGCTCTTGCTTATCCCTTTGATGCATCAGCAGCTTGAGCACCTTGGGTTCTCTGCCTTGACCCATGACAGGAAATGATTCCACAGGAGTGGTTAGTGGAGGTCACAGCTCTGTGATGATGTTGGCCACATGCATGAGCCAAATGGTCTTCCCAGCTCAGGCTCTGGTTTGCTTTGGGAGTTCCTGTCACTGCAGAGGTTGCTGCTCATCCACATTGGCCCCGTGTCCAACACGAGAACCCTGTGGCCCAGCTCCATCATGTGTGGAGAAGCTTTCATCTTTAGAAGCTCTTTCGGGGTCACTCTTGCATTGAGGAAGGAGGCTGAAGGCCAGGACAGCCAGTGGTCTTGCTTCTTCTTCCTTCAGATGTGTTCTTCTCCAGGGCAGGGATCCCAAGGATCCCCAGCAGTTACCATTCCAGCCCTGTACTAGGCTCCCCCACTCCCAGCCTCCCCTCACTCTCTGCTGGTCTGGAGCAGCCAGCATTTCCCATTAGATGGCTGAAAGCACTCACCATTTCCAAACTCACCATCTCCTCATTTCAGTCCTCCTGGATCCCAGGGTCGTGTCCTGCATGTTCCCGAGGATCCATCAGTTCTCCAAAATGGAAGCCTGGAGTCCAAGAGCAGCAGCCCTGTGTGTTTGCCAGTGCCCACCCAGACCCTCAGGATTTTCTTGAAGCTCTCCAGGACTGCACTGCCAGACACAATGAGAATTTTGTCCCAAGGGAACAGTCACTGGAGACCTTCTCTCTTCTCTTTTGAACTCCCCCTTAGGCTGTTGCTGATGGAGATGGACCTTAGGCTACGCAGGCTTGTCTGGCTGCTGCACTGACTTTGAAGCTCTTTCATGCTCCCTGGAGTCTGGTTTGTGCCCTGAAGATGCTCTTCACGGCCAGTCATGAACTGTGAGCACTGTCCCACCTCACACCTTCACTCTGCTCCCAGGAAGGGCTTTCTATGACTGTTGCATTTTTTGGCATCCATGGGAAGGCAAGGTTCCACTGCCACCCTCACACAGTTGCTGTTCCCAGTATCCACCCTCTGACGTGAATCCCACAAGCTCCTCTGGTCACCATGCCTCAGTATCTGAGCAGACCAGAAAGTGCTGCAAAGCACCATGCCGTGACAAGGGACTCCAGGCCTCCTCCAGTGTCCTTCTCTGCACCTTCCACTCACTCTGCAGCAGATTTAGTGGCTTCAGTGGAGGCTGGCCATGGACCAGGGAGCACTGTGCATCCTCACTGCTGTCCTCAGCCACACTGTGAGCTGATGCTCTCCTTGCTGCCATCTGGTGACAAGTGGCCTTGGAACTGTGTCACATGGACATGGCCACCATCAGGCAGCTTGGATGTGGCCATTTGGAAGTCAAGTTACACTGGTTTCGCTGGTCCTTGCTGCCCACAACCCTGGGGCAGCACTGCCACAGGACACTCAAGCCCTGTTGCAGAGAGCATCAGGTACAGCCTTGATGGGGTCACAAAAATGGGACAACCACCCCTCCAGCTGCACCCACATTTTGGTTTACATCAAAAGATCATTCCCAAGCTGACAGAGCCAGGAGAGATGACATCTAGGGGGACATTAAAACAGGTTTGATGGTGACATATTTAATGCTGCATTTTCAGTTCCTGATGCAGAAAGAAAAAGGTCATTTGCATATGAAACTCTTGGCTCATCACACCTGGAGGAGGTGGCTCCCTCTCACCCTCTGTGAGGTTAAAGAGGTGCAGCAGGTGACAGCTGGGAGTCAAAGGAGGCACAAAGGAAAGCAGCAAGTGGTGACACAGAGCTGTCAGGCACAGACTCAAGGCTCAGTGCAGTCATCTTTGGTGATTCCAAGGAGCCTCAGCTACCAGAAAGATTCAGGAGATGCTTCTTTGGTCCAAGGAAGTTACTTGGTCAGTCTCAATGCCCCAGCTGAGGGAGAGGGAGGTTTATGTGGGATGGGAGAGATGGGGAGTGAGTCCCATGCTGGCACCTAAAGTCCCACCAAAAGCAGACAGGGAGCTGGTCCAGGGCCACTGAGAAATGCCCTGCAGAGAATCAGCACCCTTGGTCCTGAATCAACACCCTTGGTCACACCTCTGCATGCAAGAGGAAAGCTTTCCAGGTCCTGGCTGAATCCCTTGGGCTCCAAGGAACCTCGAGCTTACAGGGGCAGGTTGGGAGGAGGAAAACATGAGCATATTTTTAGAGAAATTGGAGTCTCCCTGCAGCAGAAAATCCAGTAAAAGCAAAACCCAAGTGAAAAGCAGCTTCAGCTGTTCTGGCTGTGGCTGTGACGGGCTTGGCCCCAGGCCAGTGAGTTAATTCTGCCTATTAACTAATAGTATAGTATTGTCGGTAAAGATTCATTGCTAAACTTATGTTTTTAAGATATCACTTATCATTTAAACACTTAACTCCTGATCCCCAAACATGTACAGGCACCATGTAGCCCTGCAGCCATGCTGCAGATAACCAAAGCCACCACTGGCTGGGGAGGCCGGGCAGTGTTTAACCCTTTTTCCCCTCTTTGTTTGAATGATAAATTGTCTGGAGTAGCACTTTCCAGGGAAGAGCAGGCCCTCCCACTCAGGGACCACTTATTATCACCTACTTAATGTTCCCCAGCTCAGCAGGGATGGAGGAACTGTTCCCAATAGGGGATTTTTCTAACCTCTGTGAAGGGTGTGTGAACAGCCAGAAACCCCATGGATATCTGTGATTGCAGCCTGTCACCACCAAGGGCCTCCCTCTGTCCTTCCTTGCCTTTCCCAGTCACCCCAAGTGCTCTGCAGGCTGGGGACAGGCAGGTCTGGTCCTTCAGGAGGAAGGGTGAGAGCAACAGGGGCTCCTCACTGTTGTATTGCCCTAAATAGTTTATTTAGTCTTACACCCCACCTCCAGGCTGAGCCCTCGGTGCTGCCCAGCACCTTTCAGCTCAACATCCCCACTCTGATCTGTACCATAACTCGGCAGTTTCCAGGATCTCAGAGCTCTCCTGCAGCATCCCAGAGCAAACCAGCACCTTTACCAGTTACACCAGTCACCAGCACTGGCTGCAGCCCCCACCCTGCCCACCCCACACTGTGGGGAGGTTTCTCTGCACAGAGTTAAATAAAGATTAACCTTTTACATCCCTATATGCTTGCTGAGGGTACCTGGCCCTGGATGGCTCGTGCTGAAACGTGACACGGGACAGCCCCACCTCACTCAACCTGTTTGTCCTGTTGCAGGGACCTGAGGAGGGGGAACAGCCGCTCCTCTCCCCTTCAGCTCTCTGCTCCGGCATTTCTGAGCCCTGCACCTGAGGGATTCTGTGTGTAGGAACCCCGAGCTCCCGGGCACCAGGTGAAACAGAGAGGAGGAAGGGCAGAGGGTGGCACTGGGCAGCCGAGCATCCTCCTGCGCTGGGAGCCCAGGAACGAGCAGAGGCGCAGGACAGCTCCAGGCGAGGATTTCGGCTCTGCGGGGAGGGGCTGCGCCGAGCATCGAGGATCGAGGGCTGGAAGGTAACCCTGTTAATGTGGCTGCTGCAATGTCTATAGTCTGAGGGTTTAGAGCCTTCAGCTAGATTAAGAAGGAAAAGTCAACTGGTAGATTGCAGTAACGATTCGGAGAGTTCTCCGCTCAGAAAATGAATGAAACTTTTGAATGGTAGCCATGGGAACAAA